TAAAATATTATAATATAATATAATATAATTAATTATATATTTATGTATTTATCTATTTATATATGTATATTTATATATTTATATTTATATATTTATATATTTATATATTTATATATTTATATATTTATATATTTATATATTTATATATTTATATATTTATATATTTATATATTTATATATTTATATATTTATATATTTAATATTGAAAAATATAGTGAAAATTTTTGATTTAAAGTTTTTATAATAGATTATGATATTTTTAGTGAATTTAAATTAAAAAAATAAAAGGTAGATATAATTTTAGTTATATTATTTTTATTTTTATATTTTAATTTAAATTTAAAAGAAAATTAGTTTTTTTACCCACCCGCAATCGCCCGCAAACGCAAACGCTAACTGAAACCAGCTTTTGATTTTAAGAGGTTGGGAGCGGTTTGAAGCGATTTGTAGCGGTTCTTGTGATTGTTGCAAAACGCTAGCAACCGCCATCAACCACAAAAGCTGCGTTTGCGGATGGTAGCGGGGAAACCAGTCGGACCCTTAATGAAATGGAAAAATTACGGAAAAGCCATCATCACTCTCACTCGTACGTGGTTTAACAGTTAACCCACGTGAGAGTGGTCTGTACATGTCACGTGGACTTCTTCAGCGTCTTCCACTTTTGACTTTATGATGTAAATAATAGCCTTGTTGATATTTTCTTTTTCCATGTTAAAATATCTTTTTTTGAAACAAGAGTATATTTTTGAAAAAAAACAATATTAATATCTCATTTATAAGTTTTAGCATATGACCATTTGTTGTCGAAACTATCCACAGTGAATTCATATCTATAAAGTTATAATTTTCTACAGTAGGGTGAAATATAACTTTTGTCTAGCACTGCTCAAATATTTTCATCTGATTTGGTAATTTTAGTTATGTGTTTTATAAAGCAATCTAAACTCATGAACGATATTGATTACCATCTTACATATCCACTATCTCATACACGAACACGACGATATCAATCTTATCAAATCGGTGTAATTTGTTATAAAACGATTCTGGCAAAGTAGTATTATAATTTTTTTTACAGCATAAAACGCCAACAAGAACTGATCCAACTTTCAATTGTGACGTAGTGTCGTAGTAAAGTTGCCTGAACACTGAAGAATGGAACAATTGATAAGTAAGGATATGCCGAAAGAGAATAGTGATGATGTTAACTACTTTCCCTAAATTGCTCCATAATTGATTTAATTAGTAAACCTTTTGTGCTCTTTAAACCGGAATATTCGGAAACATCACAACAGAGGATATTCAGAAGGTTGGTATTATATTCGTAAACATTTATGATCACCAGATTTTCACGTTGAAGTTCTTTATAGTTAGATATATAAACACTGAATAACTTTAATAGGAATATATGTAATATATACAAATAAATTAAAGGAGAATCTGATTCTATTTCTGTGATAATAGACAAATGTGCACAGACTATTTCATGGTATAGATTCTAGACCAATGTATGTGAATGTATAATGGTATTTTGCAGTCTTTTACGGCGCCGACAGTTTATTTTCTTCATCTCAGAATTGACAATTGCGCATTACATATTTTTCTCTGCAACACTTTCTGGATATGTAAATTTTATATCAATTAATAAAAAGAATATCTCGAAAGATGTCAACAAATTTCTCTTGTTTATTCAGCATTTAGAACTTTAGAAAAAGAAGTCCCGTGAATATCAAGCATTATTTTCAAGTATTTTGGTTAGCACGAGTCATGTTTAGTTCGTTCAGGTACTTCCTGTCACAAGTCGAGTCTCAAGATAATTTTCAGATACAATGGCATAGAGAATAAAAACATGCAGGAGATAACTTGTTTAGGTGATGGATTGGGTGCAATGTGATAGGGAAGGCAAGAACATTAGTAGAATATAAGAGAAGGTTGATACATATACATTCGTGGGATGTAAAACTATGAGTCAAAGCACACTGAACATAGTGATTTTTACTTGATGGAAGTGTAAGAGAAAATCGAGTTGCAATTGTAACAAAACAACCGGCCAACATCATAAATATCATAAGATAAAAAAAACTCTAGTATCTGGAAGCCCCCAAAATTTTAATGAACCGCTTGTATTTTCTTGTAAAAAGACCTTGCTGAGCTTTATCGGAAATGGTCTGAAGATTATAAGAAGGTAGTGTGGGATTGATTGTTGGCTACGAGATTAGCCCATGCGGGCAAGATCATGTGGTTGTTGCTTCGACAAGAGGAGAGTGTAGTAATTCTTCATGTAACATGTACTATTGGCTAAACCCAAACTTGAGAAACCTTAGCCGTTGAGATTCCACATGTAAGCCAAAAAAGTTTCCGGAGAAAAGTTATGTAACATCTCTTCACCAAAAATTATTACTCAGCATTGGTCAACTTCAAGAAGAATAATATATATATTTTTTTTTTGGCATCAAGAAGAATAATATATTTGAATTGTATAAAACATGTAAGCCGGAGAGTGGAAAAAAATATCTTTATGAATTCAATCTCAAATTGAGTTTGAAAACTGAGACTCGCTAAGGAAAGGACACGCATGACTTTAGTATCTAACCAGAAGAGGAGTAAAACCAATAATAATTTTTAAACCGGTAATGAGTAAACCGGAAAACCAATAAAAATATATGGTTTGGAATTAAAACGCAGTCACAAACTTTTTGTGGAAACCGGCGTCTGCGTTTGGATTGTATAGAAGATATTTGTAGGAATTACCCGCGTGATTAAAACAAAAAAAGTGTTTTTAGTTTCATCAGTCATTACCGTTAAAAAAACACTTCCTCCAAGTGGATTCCTAAGACACCGTACAACTAATCATCTCTTGTCTCCTTAACACGTCTCTCAAATCTCTAACTATCTTCTTCTCTCCCACCGAGCTCCACACCTGGTTGACTCAACAACGACTTGTCGTCTAACCCTTTAGGCAACCATGACAACTCCTTCTTGCCGGACTATAAACGCTAATAATGCTGTCTCCGCACCGTCGCTTTCGGGAATGATCTTCCACGGCTGTCGCGATAAGAGGATCCTGAAGTCAAGCTCACGTGGCTTGAATTTGCCGACGAAGAGATTGGCTTGGAGCTTAAGTTCTCCGGGGAGGTTTCTCTCTTCTCCTGTGGCCTCTAGTTCTACATCTGCGGCTGTGACATCGAATTCGACGAATGGAATGGAAGCTTTAGAAGAGGGGATTGAGAAGGTAAAAAAGGGTCAATTTCACATTCCACTTAATCGATAAACTTTAGGGTTTATAGTTTGAAGCAGAGATCATAATATTGATTGATGTTTGTGACAAAATCTTTTAAAAGCTGAGTTTTAATTTTTGTTTTTGATGATTGATATGATTCTAATATCTTTTTCAAACTTCCAGGTCATTTATAGATGTCGATTCATGGCGTTTCTTGGGACATTGGGATCTCTTTTCGGTTCGGTTCTGTGTTTCATCAAGGTAAAAGCCACTCCAGCTTCTCTGTTTTGAC